ACAGAGAGGGAATGGGACTAAGCTTCCAGTTAGGAACCTACTTCCAGGATGTTTAATCTACGGCCATGGGAAAGGCATCAATTCATTCAGGAGAACGGAATACTCATGAGCCAATTACGCCTTAGAGGGCCTCACTCCCACCACTATTGCTATGGGGATTGCATTTTCAACACTTGAGGGTCAGCGGAAGCGTACCATATGGGTATTGGTTCTCATTCCAGCTGCTCCATTCCCATTCCAGCTCAGTGCTAATGGCTTGGGAAAGCGGCAGAGGATGGCCCAAGTCCTTGAACCCCTGCAACCACATGGAACCTGAGATGGGGTGGTATTGCATTGTTGTGTAACCACTCCCCTCACCATCCCCCATAAAAGCCCATGACAGGGAGGGGTTCGCTCTATTGATCCCATGCCTCCCCGGTACCTGCTTGCTCACCAACTTCCTGGGACAGAATCAGAGGACAGGTGGCCCCCCGAGCATGCCCCCTGTACGGCTGGATTCCCTACCCTAAGTTCACTGCTGGGGTGAGTCAGTGAAGACACAAATACTAACATGCTTTGTATTTCTAATTTGCGTACTTTCAAGAGTTCCCGCAGAGGTGAAAGGAATGTACACAGAGAAGCCAGGAAAGGCTGGAGGTTTACAGCTTTGCAAGTGGGTCGAGGCTGTTCACTGCTGTCTCTTAGGATAATTTATATTGCTGGAGAAGCTGGAGCATAGGTCTGTAGCTTAACAGACAGACCTGGCTGTAACCATCACTTGCACCTCACACGGTTTCGATTCAGACTGGATTGCTACATAGATTTATAATTTGCTAAGTTCTAGTGGGCCCTGCCATCACGAAGCGTGGTTAATAAAGACTCCTTAACACATCTTAGACTTGTCTGGCGTGATCTCTCCTGCACCCCACAACATCACAACTCTGAAGATTGAGGTGCACGGACAAGAAAGAGTGAAGAACGTGGAGAAATGCCATTGGAAAGGGAAAACAAAAGTGAAAGCTCCGGGCAGCATCGGAAAGGTCAAGAACCGGTCACTGCTGAAGAAGTCCTGTCTAGGGGTTAGATGTTTTTAAATGCTGAACTCTCCCTAATGAGTTACTACATATGGTAATAAGGTGAAAACGTCTTGTACTGGATGTGGGCCACTCAGGGAGCAGCTGCTAGAATCACCCCGTTTTGCATAAGTATGCTAATGAGATGTCTCGGAGGGGCTTGTCTGGAGCTGCTCACAGATGGAACCAGTGTAACTCGTTCTACGCGAAGCTGATGGAGAGCTCAAACAGGTTCCTGCTGATGCCCTTAACTAACGTGGCCTTGTCCAACTGTGGACACATTACCCTTCCTTGGGATCCCTCGTCCCTCTCAACCTGCTGCTAGGAAGAATCTTGTCCAAACTTTCCCAGAAGTCATCAGGCTTACACAACTCTACCTCGGTGTATATTTGGTGAGCGTCCATCCCTCCTGATCAAGGAGGCAACCAAAGCAGGGTGCGAGGAAACCCCTCGTGAGACTGCCCGCACTGCTGTCTGTGTACCGACTCAGATTCTGTTCCTGTTCCTGCATTTCCCAGGTCTCCACTTTGAATTCTCTCAGACAAGAGCTTGAAATAAACCCAGCTAGGGTCACCCCTTCTTTTTTTTTGGTGTGTGGGGGGTTCAACCCTTTTTGCAACAGCATGAATAGAATCAGACACTTCTGGACATGGCTTCTTGCACTCCGCAAAATGAAATGCTGGTAAGATTCATCCATGCTGTTGCTATGGGAAAGGAGGTATTCACTTTTTTACTCCAGGTTCCTGTCATCACAAAGACAAAAATGCTAAATGTTGACATGTGTTAAGTTGAGCAAAGTGATAGAAATTTTATTCAAAAGTTGAAGAAGTAAACACACGTACACACATGTGAGCAGGGGCTGCCCCACCCGAGGAGTATCCACAATGAGTGGGCACTGGGCCAGATGACTGCCCAAAGGGGAAGAGGTGAACGAGGGGAGGCACAGAGGCCACTGTGCGCCCCTCCAGCTGTGGTCTGTGGCAGAAGACAGACATAAAGAGAGGGGAAAGCAGGGTCCTGCTGATCTCATTTATGAAGTTGGGCGTGCTACTTCCGGGCATGACACAGCTCAACATCTGTATTGCTGTGGCATCCCTTTTAGGTCCTGGATGAACAGACATATTGCAGGGAAAGAGCTCTTCTGACAACTAGGACAGAACTGTACACATGGGGCTTGTGAATGCCGCGTCAACAGACCTAGCCAGCTCCCTGCTTATCCCCTATCTTGTGAAGCAACTGCTGATTTTATTCCCGTGACGTCCCATAGCAAGGATAAATCCGTGCTACATCTGAATTGCACCACACTTTCTAAAATCAGTTATGTACATTGGCTTATAGGTCTTTGCATTGCAAGAAACCAGAACACCCCACCTCTAAACATTTCTCTTTGGGTTTGGGATTATTTTGAGCTACTGAAGACGCAGGAAAAACTCTGAAAACAGAATAAAAGTTGTCCTTTTGTCAGGCAAATTTTCATCTACAAAGGAAATTTCCATCTGCAAGGATGAGTCCTTTCTTGTACCAGGAAGAGAAGGATGGCTGTAAATCCCAGAGGCTTTCGTCAATGGAGAACACACCTGCCTGAATTTACAAAACAAACCTGCCCGTGTTGATCTTGCTTTTCTTGAACATTTCCATAGAAGTGGCCTTCCCCACACCTTGTTTCAGCAGTGAATTAAATTTAAGCCTGAATTCAAGACCTCATCTTTGAGGTTTATTCATTTATCTGTGGATTTATCAAATACACAACCAGGAAACATGTCATTTTCTCTTGCTACTCTCTGTCACAAGTGGTCTGTTCCAATTAAGAACTGTGAAGGAGGGGCTGATGTGTTGACTCAACTGGCTGGTCCCACGTGGGTGCTTGGTTCATGTCCTGGCTGCTCCACTTCCATTCAGCTCCGTGCTTATGGCCTGGGAAAGCAGCAGCAGAGTGGCTCAGGTCCTTGGGCCTCTGCACCTATGTGGGAGAGCCATAGGAAGCTTCCGGCTCCTGGTTTCAGACCAGCTCGGCAGGTCACTGCAGCCATTTGGTGAGCGAACCAGCAAATGAAAGATTTTTGTCCTTGTCTCTCCTTCTCTCTGTAAATCTTTCATTCCAATAAAAATTGCAAAAAGAAATTAAAAAGAACTGTCGGGGAAGGGAAAAAAATTGATTTTTCATCCAACGGCTTGTACTTCTTTTCCTGCCTTTGGTCACACACTTAGGAGTGAGACTGCTGACTCATAAGGCATGTCTAACTTTACAACAACCGACTAATTTCTCAAAATGGCTACACCATTTTGCATTCCTGCTAAGAATAAATGAGAATTCCTAGTATTTTGCATTGTTTTCAGCACTTAATATTGCCAGATTTCACCACTGCACATATTCAAATAATCTTATTGTTATTTTAACTTGTCTGCATTTAATGGGGAATGATTAGTAACACTTAGTATTTTCGTGTGCTTATCTTACATCTGAATATGTCTTTTTGGTTAAGAATCTGCTTGGATGCTGTGCATTTAAAGAGCAGCTTAGGACCCAGAGTAGTGACTAGTGACTAAAGGCCTGATGCTGCACGTGCCTGGCACAGGTTCTAATCCCAGCAGCTCCACTTCCCATCCAGCTCCCTGCTTGTGGCCTGGGAAGGCAGTTGAGGACGGCCCAAAGCCTTGCAACCCTGCACCAGCGCGGGAGACCTGGAAGAGGGTCCTGGTTTCTGGTTATTGAGGTAACCTGGGGAGTGAATCATCAAAGGGAAATCTTCCTCTCTGTCTTTCTTCCTCTTCCTCTGATTTTGCAATAAAAATAAATATATCTTAAAAAAATATATTCCTACACAGTCCATACAAAAGCCACTAGAGCTATAAGTGGATTCAAAGTCAGCACATACACATAGTTGTTACTTCTGTATACAAAAGCTGAACAATTCAAATTCAAAATTAAAATAACAATATAAAAAATATATGGTATCTGTTGGTTAAGGAGTTAAAAACCACGGTATATGTGGAAGAATATACCATGTCCTTATATTACAGAATTTAGTATTGTTATGATATTAATTCTTTCCAGGTTTTAATATAGATTTATTGAAATTCTAATGAAAGCTTTTAGGCAGTTACTAATTACTGGTTGAAAAAGTTACACAGAAGGGCTAAAGCCAAAAATTCTTAAATATTTTTGAAGAGAATAAAGTTGGAGATTCGTACTAACTGATTTGGTTTTTCTTCTTTTTCATACTAACTTATTTCAAACGTCAGCATAATATGATAGTAGCTGAGACCGTGAAGATAGCAAAACAACACACATATAGATCAAAGGAATGGGAAACTAGAAATAAACTCCTATAAATTCCACAATTGATTTTTGATAGTGATAGAAATCCAATATTAAGAAGTGTCTTTTGAAGCAAATGATGATGGCCCAAATTGATATCCATGTTTTAGGTTACTGAAGTTACTGTGGACATGCAATGTATTTTTTTTTTCCAGCTCTTTGCTTTGCACAAAGATAAGCATTCTTAGTGCAGAACCAATTAGATACAAAAAAATGGTAGCAAAATTGATTCAAATCTCAAACACATCAGAAAGGGTTATATGACACAAGCACCCATCTTGAGTGGGCAGTAAACCCTTACCTGGAGCTAATTCCCACAGCCAAGTCTTCTTTTCGGGATAAGTTCGCTGCCATAAGGCAATCCGCCAGACGCAGAGAGGCACTTCCGAGGTCCTTTCTTCCAGCAGGGTGGAGTGGGGGTGAGCGGCAAGAGAACCAGAAGCCAGGGTGGGACACGGCTGCCAGGCTGCCAGGCTGCCAGGCTAGGGGAAAGGGACGAGATGGAGGCGGGGGACGCAGCCGGAAGTCATCGCGTGTGAAGGGGAGGGAGCAGGAAAAGGAAGTGGAAGTGGACGGCAGGGCGGCTCTGAGGTATTGGTGAGTGGCATCGTTGGAGCCGCAGTGTATTGGTATGTGGGCGGACATTACGAGGAGGGGCCGCGAGGGATTGGTGGACAGTCGGGCACCATTCGCCAATTGTGGGAAAGGGGAAGCAGATACCTCAAATCGTACGAATCCAAAATGGTGGGCGCCTTCCGGGCCTCTAGTTGTCTGCCGCGAGTGACCGAGATCTCTGCCCCGTTGCTGACCTATTTTAGGAGGTAAGGAACGACACATTGAAGTACCATTTCTAATTTTTTTTTCAAGATTTATTTATTTAGGGCCCGGCGCGGTGGCGCAAGTGGTTAAGTCCTCGCCTTGCACGCCCAGGATCCCATATGGGCGCCGGTTCTAATCCCGGCAGCCCTGCTTCCCTTCCAGCTCCCTGCCCGTGGCCCGGGAAGGCAGTCGAGGACGGCCCAAAGCTTTGGGACCCTGCACCCGCGTGGGAGACCCGGAAGAGGCTCCTGGCTTCGGATCGGCATAGTATCGGCCCGTTGCGCTCACTTGGGGAGTGAATCATCGAACGGAAGATCTTCCTCTCTGTCTCTCCTCTCTGTATATCCGCCTTTCCAATAAAAAATAATAAAAATAAATCTTTAAAAAAAAAAAAGATTTATTTATTTATTTATTTTTATTGCAAAGTCAGATATACGAAGAGGAGGAGTGATAGAGAGGAAGATCTTCTGTCCGATGGTGATCACAACGGCAGGTGCCGCGCCGATCTGAAACCAGGAGCCAGGAGCTTCCTCCAGGTCTCCCACGCGGGTGCAGGGTCCCAAGGCTTTGGGCCGTCCTCGACTGCTTTCCCGGGCCACAAGCAGGGAGCTGGATGGGAAGTGGAGCTGCACAGGGGTTAGAACCAGCACCCATATGAGATCCCGGGGCACGTTCAAGGCGAGAACTTTTGGGGCTAGGCCACTGCACTGGTCCCTGTATAGGAGTATTTTAAAAATAGTTTTGCTAACTGTGAATAAGGTGATATTCCTACTGTTTCCATATCTTATTATAATGCCTAGTATTTATAGGATAATATAAAGTGGTAATTGTCAAAAAGGATATCCTTGCCTGTTCCCCATCTTATCAGATAGGTAGCTAGTCTTTTAACACTAATTATAATGTGTTAATTGTAGTTTATAGATACTTTTTATTGTGATGAGGAATTTTTATTTATACTTTGCAGTTTTTATTTTTATTTTTATTATAAAGGTATATGGAATATTAGTGATGAATTTTCTACATTTTTGTTAATATAGAGACAAACATTGGTTGTGTTTTGAAAGCTGAGTCAGCTATACATTCCTTAGATAAATGCCACTTGATCTGGTATGTCTCCCCTTTCTAGATATTCATTTAAACTTCCTAATGTTTTTTCAAATGATTTCCAGTTTTAAAAGTATTTTAAAATATTTTTATTTTTTGAAATGCAATTATAATGAAGCAAAGAAAGAGACAGAGAGGTAGAGAGATTTTCCACCTGTTAATTCACTATCCAATAGCAGCAATAACCAAGGCTGGGCCAGGCCAAAGTCAGGAGCCAGAAGATTCTTTTGGGTCTCTCACATGCATAGCAGATGCCCGGGCAGTTGACCATCTTCTGCTGTTTTCCCAGGCACAGTAACAGGAAGCTAGAGGGGAGATAGAACACCAGCAACCCATGTGGGCACCACTTCATATCTTGGCTGCTCCACTTCCCTTCCAGCTGCCTGCTTGTGGCCTGGGCAAGCAGTAGAGGACGACCCAAAGCCTTGGGATCCTGTACCCATGTGGTAGACCTGGAAGAAGCTCCCGATTCCTGGCTTCAGATCAGCTCAGCTCCAACCATTGCGACCACTTGGGGAGTAAACCAAGATTGAAGATCTTTCTGTCTCTCCTCTCTGCAAATCTGACTTTCCAATAAAAATAAACAAATCTTAAAAAATAATAATAAAATTTCAAGACCAATCCTCTACCTTGGAGCAGTGGGATTCCATACGGGCACTGGTTTGTGTCTTGGATACTCTGCTTCCCATCCAGCTCCCCGCTTACGGTCTGGGAAAGCAGTAGAGGGTGCTCCAAAACTTTGGGACCTTGTGGGAGCGTAGGAAACGCAGAAGAAGATCCTGACTCCTGGCTTCAGATCCACTCAGCTCTGGGTGTTGCAGCCATTTGAGGCGTGAACTGGCTGATGGAAGATCTTTCTCTCTGCCCTCTGTAAATACAATATGCCTTTCCAATAAAAATAGCTCTTTTAAAAAGTTTTTTGTAATAGGGATTCATTTGTGATTCCTGAGACTATCTGTTTGCTTTTGAAAGATCGTTTGTTGTTTAGGTCGAAGGTTTTCGAATGTATGGGAATAGTTTGTAATATACCTTTATATAATATAATAGTATATGTTGGCAATATATGAAAATGTGCCTTGTTGGTGTCTAACAATATCCAGTAGTGTTCGTGCTGCTCCAGACACTCTTACTAACTTTTTTCCTTCTTGATCAGTCAAGCTGTTATCAACTTGATCAGTGTTTGCAAATAATCTCCAGAACTTTAGTGTATTTTTTCTGATTCAGTTTTGAATTTCATTATTTCTGCTTTAGTATTGGTAATGTTATTCCTTTAGATTTTTGTGACTTGCTCAAAACTGAAACTTAGATCATTGAATTGAGACCCTTTTTGTTTTGTAACATAAACATGTAACGCCTACATTTCTAAGCATGACTTCAGTTGCATTGTGCAAGCTTACATGTATTGGATTTTTATTTTATTTTAGTCAAAAATATTTTAAACATTTTGCTGAGTCTCTTTGTTTGACTCATGACAGGTTTGAAGTTGGTTGTTTTAATTTCTAAATATTCGAGGATTTTTATATAAATCTTTGTTATTGATTTTTAATGTAATTTCACGGTGGTAAGAGAAGCGATTTATATGGTTTTATTCTTTTAAACTTAATGAAGTTTGTTTTACAGTTGAGAATATATCATACTGAATGTTCCATCTGTATTTAAAAAAAAAAAACCCGCGTAGCTTGCCATTGATGGGTGGAGGTTCCTGTAGACATCAGTGTGCTGTGGCTGTGGATGACGTTGCTCGAGTCTTCTTCTTTTAATTTCTAAAGCAGGAGTGTTGAACTCCAGTCTTGGCAAGACACAGCTTATTTTTCGAGACAAATATGAATGTCTTTATGAAGACAGTCTTGGCCCAGTTACTTCCCGCTAGGCCCTGTTTCTTTATTCTTTCTTTTTTCTTTCTTTCTTTCTTTTTTTTTTTTAATTGGAAAGGCAAGTTTACAGAGATAAGGAGAAAGCGAAAGAAAGTTCTTTTGTCTGCTGGTTCACTCTCCAAGTGGCTGCAATGGCTGGATCTGAGGCAATCTGAATCCAGGAGCTTCTTCCAGGTCTCCCACATGGGTGCAGGGCTCCAGGCTTTGGGTCATCCTCTACTGCTTGCCCAGACCATGGGCAAGGAGCTGGAAGGGAAGAAGAGCAGCCAAGATATGAAGTGGTGCCCACATGGGATGCTGGCATGTGCACAATGAGGATTTAGTCACCAGGCTATCACACCTGGCCTAAGGCCCCGTTTTTTAAACGTTCAATACTGTGTCAGTGAGGACCAAGCTTCTAGCACCTGTCCCCCGAGGGAGACATTCCAACCATATCCACATCACAACAAATCCGAACCATAGGTTGCCATGACTAGCATCATCCCTTCCCTGAGTCCAGACAATACTTTGTGTGTGGGAAAGGAGTGAAATGAGCACCCGACATTGCTGTGGATCCCAGCACCAGGCCTGTCTCAGCTTTAGGATACAGACTGGCAACCAACACCAGAAGAGCCCCGTGACCCTGGGATGCAGGCCTGCCCTAGGGCCAAGCCAGCTCACATGGACCCCAGCCCCAGACAGGCCCCCGCAGTCCTACACACCAGTACAACACTCGTGGGCTTAGGATACAGACAGTTCCCCCAGCCCCATGATCACACAGGCCAAGGACCCATACCTGTCCCAGTGCAGCCAGACTCTAGGTCAGCTTTCCCTCAGATCTGTCTTCTATACCTGCCCCTGGAAGCTGGTGTTTTTAGCCTGGGACTCTAGGAAAGCCCCTGTAGCCCTGATTTCCAGACTGGCACTCACAGACCCAGACTCCTAGGCTGGCATTCATGGTCTGGGGCTCTAGGAACATCCTTGTTGATTGGGGCTCCACATTAGCTAAATCCCAGAAACTAAAGACGCAGGCCCATTCCTACAGAGTCGGGCTTAAAGTCGGCCTGCAGCCAGGTCAGCCTCGTGGACCTACTGAGCAGATACGCACTGCTGGACTCGGGCTGAAGACAGCCTTCTCTGACCCAAGTTGCATTCCCAGGAGACACAGGCTCGAGGCCTGGCATCGCGGGCCTGAGATCCAGTGTGGCTTCTGTTAAGCAGGTACCAGGTCTGCCCACCGGCTGACTGAAGCACCACAGTCAACTCACCTGGGAACGCCACCAGATGGCTGATTAAGAATTTCTTCACTGACTGGCTGGTGAAGGGAAGAGGCTCCACAGACACAGACAAGACCCTAAGAATCACACAAGCAATCAGCCAAGTGCACTCCCATCAAGAGAGCAAAATAAATCACTAGTAGAAATCCCTACAGAGACAAATGACAAAGGATTCAAAATCATCATCTTAAAGAAAGTTGGAGGCCCAGCGCAATAGCGTAGCAGTTAAGGTCCTCGCCTTGAACGCACTGGGATTCCATATGGGTGCTGGTTCTAATCCCAGCAGCCCTGCATCCCATCCAGTTCCCTGCTTGTGGCCTGGGAAAGCAGTGGAGGATCCTGCACCCATGTGGGAGACCTGGAGGAGGCTCCTGGCCGTTGCAGCTGCTTGGGGAGTGAACCTTTGGACTGAGGATCTTTCTTTCTGTCTCTCCTCCTCGCTGAGTATCCTCCTTTCCAATAAAAATAAATCTTAAAAAAAAAAGTAAAAAGAAAGTTGGGAAGCTCCCAGAGAAAACACACAAATTAAACAAATCCATAAAAGCAAATGAAATGAAATGAAATGAAAACTTGAACAAAGAGATGTATTACCAAAACAATTCTGGTGCTAAAGACTCTATTGATTGCAGTTAAAAATACATAGAGTACTTAAAAACAGATCTAATCCAAAATAAGAATGTAACCAAAAAGATCTAATCGATCAAAACAGTGAAGATACATTATGGAAGCAGCAGAAAGAGCAGGGAAAGAGAAAGGAGAAGAAAAAAC